AATTGTAAACGTTCTTATTTAATTTTGTTGTTTCTAAAATGATTTCTTTCCCATATTTGTATATATATATATATAGAAGTCGTAAAATCATTGATATTTTTATTTTCACATATATATAAAGATTTTTTGCAGGAACACGTCTGTATTAAACACCATCAGTTGGCAAACTCTCATTGTCTTCTCTTCTCTAGTTTGTAAACAATTAAGTCTCAAGATAACTTACTGTGGATCTTCTTTGAGATAACTATCTAACATCCGACAGCACTGTTTAGTATGTTCAAAACTGTGACTGCACAGGAGAGAGCAAGTCTGTATTCCTGTATAGAAAGTCTTGCAATGTTACGCATGTGCAGTATCAATTTCAGATGGTAGCTCAGATACTATACCATAATATGGTCGATAAATATGAATAAATGAATTTACTTCACATAGACCTTACTGGCGTTTTCAAACCAAAAAAAAAAAAGAAAGAAAATTAATTGTTAATATTAAGTTATATATTTCTATTGCTTAGGTGCTAAGTAAAAAAATTACCGGGTTCGAAAGATGTGGGCAGGAATTTTAATTTTTGAGGATAATAATTCAAACATTATTGAAGCTAATATTTGGAACGGGGATGAGGTCCAACATTTTCTTGTGTAATATATTATGTATACATGAACAATTTACACGACAGCATCTAGTGTTCATCTTATAAATGTTGCATTATTATTTTGTTGTTGTTATAGCAATTTCAAATTGTTCCCCTTGATCCCAAGGAATATGGGAATTTCTACTCTGGAGACTCGTATATTTTGTTACATGTGAGTATCTCTCTATATATCTTTGTAGCTTACATTTTACAGTTTACAATAAGCTGGTCTCTGTTTTAAAGCCTGGTGGTTAGCGTGTACTGACTGTGAATCCGAGGATTCATGGTTCGCGGCACATTGGGCCGCGCTTTTGCTATAAGAGTGACAGTCAAATCCTATTATTCGGTCAGACAAGAGTAGCATAAGAGTTCAGAGAGGGTGCTGTTGGATAACTGAATTCCCTCTAGCCTATCAATTCAAAATTAGCAAACAAACAAATGCTAATGCTGTTATATTCAAGAATAAAATAAATAAAGTCGCTACAAATTCGAGATTACAAAGTCATGTAAAAGGTTGAGAAATAAACAAACATGTGCTGTTTTTGATAATCCAGGAAAGTTCCCGGATCATTTCTAAATTGTTACCACATACAGAAGATAATTTAGTGGACCATTATATATATATATATATATATATTTATTTTTTTACTGATTTATGTTATTCTGATTACATGAATATTTGATCTTTCTTCATCTGTATAGTGTGTATTATTATTATATTAAGAATATGATAGCTAGTCATCACCACCCACCGCCAACTCTTGGGCTACTTTTTTTTACCAACGAATAGTGGGATTGACCGTCACATTATAACGCCCCCACAGCTGAAAGGGCGAGCATGTTTGGTGTGACGGGGATTCGAACCCGCGACCCTCACATTGCAAGTCGAGTACCCTAACCACCTGGCCATGCCGGGCCTGGTCAACTGGAATATTTTTTATCAAAGTAATGATATTGCCAAAGGCTTCCGCCCACAAATATTAAAAAAAAATCAAAGCTATTATCTTCCCTCTAGTCTTACCCTGCTAAATTAGGGACGGCTAGCGCAGATAGCCCTCGTGTAGCTTTGCGCGAAATTCATAACAAACAAACAAACAAATCATACGTGCGGCAAGTTGGTTTATGTTAAACAATACCAGCTTTTGTTTTAAACTCACAATGGAAGTCTACCTTTTAAATGTTATCACTATCGGGTGTGTCCTTGTGGGTAGGTTGTCAGGGTGCGAATTGAAGGATCCAGGGTTTGAGACGTTATGCTACTTAACACATTTCGCATTTCCAAATTAACAGTCAGTTACATTATTAGGCTTAAAGATACAAAGCTCTTGTGGAGCTAGATGCTGCTGGTTGTCTATCTTTCTTTTGGTCAGCAGTTCAAAATTATTGACTGCTATACCCGAATCCTTGGATCTTTAACCCGGTTCATGTTTAGGTGGAAAATTCAAATTCTAAATATTATTCCAATTACTGTTATATTTTGCTTTTCTGTTTCATTAATCCCCCCCCCCAAAAAAAAACAAACTTTCTCTGAATGTTATATAATGTCAAAGTATTATACAAATAATAATGTTGCATTGAGACACAGATTTCGAGCAAATTTCGTTGATGCATTCAGATCCGTAAAGAGAAGTAAAAATGTGTTGACTCATTTAACTCACTACCTAACTTAACGCAGGAAAATCTAAATAATCTATAGCTTTCTTTACTTAGTCTGCAAATAACACTATAATGTTTTGATTCCTTGTAGTATTTTAATAGTATTAAGGTCAGAGGCGTTGCGTGCCCCGAATCTCCAGTTGGTGTCTTGAAAAATCAGAATGGAAAACTATGATCGATATCATACTGAAAAGCCGAAAATTCCCACGCCTATGGACCCGAGCCCCGAATCTTTTAAGTACTTAGCGACGCCTCTGATTAAAGTAATAACGTCATTAATAATTTCATAAGAGTGGTTAAGGTACTAGTTTATTATTATTTTTTAACACATGTTAATGCGTAATACTAATCATTCATTTTACTATGTTTCATACCCCTACCAGTGATGGAAATAGAGGTACACGCCGTTTTGAATTTTGTCCCCATTGGTTAAGTTTAGTATCACTGAAGATGTTTATTAACCATATCGTCACGGGTCAAAGGCCATGTAATCGCGTTTGTTGACTTACATTCAAAATTTTATTGAACTACTATTTTATGAATTTATGTCAATAAGTTTGATATGAAATTGTATATTATAATTCAAATTTTACTATTATACATTAGTTAATTTCTTAATTTAAAAGTAAATATTATAAGAACACACCTAAATATCGATTTGTGTGTGCCATGTGGCATGTTGAATGCAGCATTGGTTCAAATTAAATATGTGTGTGATATCCAAATACAAAGTCTATAGTTTCTTACAAATTAGGAAGTCAAATTACCGATATTATAAAGCTAAAATATAAAATATAAACCTCCTATCTTTTCTATTTATTTTTTTATACCTATCACCTCACTGCTCCTTCCAAGAGTGTACCTAGTTCATAAAACCCATTTCCTTTCCTGCCCTTAACACCACACAGAACGACCCATTAACTTTGGACACTGATGAGGTATCACATAACTCAATAAAAACAGTTTTTGTTAATTTAAGTTCGCCATTTAAAAGCTAAAACTATACAGATAATTTTGTGCGTGTTTTTAAGTGCATATTCTTTGCTATTAATATTATTTTATATTACTTTCAGACCAAACGTCTTCGAAGTGGAAACCTAGAGTGGAATATTCATTTCTGGTTAGGTAAAAATACGTCACAGGTAAGTATTTTGGTTTGTGTTAATTTACTAGTGTCACAGACAATTAACGAGCGTGTACTAACATCAAACCTGTGTTATTGAGACATGTGTATCATTTGATTTTTTTTTCTATTGATCAAAGTGTGGTCTTATGAAAAATCACAGTTGACTCTCGGTATTTTAAGTACGCTGTTTTGAGAAGGTGATGTCCCTCCCCCACCCAGGGGCACAGCGGTATGTATGTGGACATACAACGCTAAAAACCGGGTTTCGATACCCGTGGCGAGCAGAGAACAGATAGCCCATTGTGTAGCTTTGTGCTTAACTTAAAAAAACAACAAAACAAACGAAGGTGATGATTAATCTGTAATTTAATAAAAATACTCTATAGTCTTATATTTCTACATCTTCAGTTTTAAGTCTTAACAGATAATTCTTTCCAAATGTATTTGTTACCACTTTTGGATTAGATAAGATGGCTACTTGAGGAGAGATAAGACGTCAGCATCATAAAAAACCAGAGAGAGAGAGAGAACAAAATATATTTCTGATGGCTAGTTTTTATTTTCGCAATTTTCAAACTTATTTAATGTCGTGATAAGCATAAAAATATAACTTCCGAGGTTCTGAAATATCTTATTTAAGCTTAATCTGTATATATATATATATATATAAACAATTATTTTACCACACTCTTCTTGTTTTGGTCAGAAGAAAGTTTGCTGCTAACTTAAGATATTTAGATTTTCTCGATACATATTTTGTGTTTAGATCAAGAAATTAAATTAAGTAATGTGAAGTAGTCTTTATAATAAATTTATATGATACTTTATAAATCGCAAAAAATCTTTTAGGTTTTAGCAGATCACAATTGTAATGAGCTCATTTTAGAGATCCTTATGATGTTTACATCCATCGACAGTGAACCCTTTTGTGCGTAGTTTAGATCCTCAATTCTCAATAAAATTTCATTAAATCTGTTTAAAGATTTTAACAAATTGAATACAAACACGAAATAAGAAACAAGACCCTCTTTACTTTGAACACTTAATAACTAGTCTCGTAATTATTCCTATTCTGTTTGGTATGCAAAATATATATGATTAAACATTTCACGTGTGTATGATGATTATTAAACATGTAACATGTTTGAGTAATTGTCTACTGTTTTGGAAACGGTTGTATCTTAGGATGAAGCTGGGGTCGCTGCCATCAAAACCGTGGAGCTCGACGACTCCCTAGGGGGTATTCCAGTTCAACATCGGGAGATCGAAGGCCACGAATCCAAAATGTTCCTTTCTTACTTTAAGAAGAAGGGTGTAAGGTAAAACAACGAAAATGAGCCTTTGGATATTTGATTCATACTAAATAAAGTTAATGTATCACATATTGATTCAGAAATGACTAACAAAAATCGCCCTTGAAAATTAATTGATAATATTTTTAATGGATCGTTAAATGACAAAAGAACCAAATATAAGTACATATTTTCCTTTATTGATCCATTCTTGTCCACAAAGTTTATTTTTGCAATACAAATAAATTGAGATAAAGTTAGTTTTCTAGGTTTAAACATTTAACCTTTTACGAACATGAATACTTATGAGTTTGATTTCTATGTTTTGTTACGATGCACAAATCTACTGAGTCCACCCAGGGATCGTACCCCAAAATGTAGCATTATAAGCCCTTTTTAAAGCTTATTACGGAGACGTTGGTGGCTAGAATTTGGTAATATTTTACTCACTCTTATGTTAATGACAGTTTTTATTGTCTTTATTTTTATACATATATAGGTCTTTTGTCTGGATTTACTCTTTTGTGAAAACTGCTTTATAATACTTGATTTAGTAGTTGTATGTTTGTTGAATTTCACACAAAACTACTTTAGGACTATCTGTGCTAGTTGTCCTTAATATTGAAGTGATAAACTGGAGGGCTCAGTTAGTCACCACCTCCCACCGCCAACTTTTGGGCTACTCTTTTACCAACGAAAAGTGTGATTGATCATTGCATTATAATGCTTACACAGCTGAAAGGGCGAGCATGTTCGGTGAAGGATTTTTGATCCCGCGGCCCATAGATTGCAAGTCGAACGTCCTAACCACCAGACCATGCCAGTTCCTGATTTACTACTTAGTTAACAGTAATCATCAATGCTGTAATTGTTACTTTGTCAAACTTTGACTTACTATTTTGTTGACAGTGTTACATAACCATCTCTGTTGTATGTGTTACAATATATATATATATATATATATAATTGGTTCATAGATGTCGATGAATGATTAAAGTGGCGAATGTGATATTCAAGCCTACCCTAAAAATGCTTAATCAAGTTAGATGATTGTGGTGGCCATGGACGAAAGATCACTGAAGTCAGCGTTGTTCTGTTTCAACCAATTTTAGACATTGTGGGTGCTGTGGATTGTTGCATTATTGTCTTGAAAGTGTCATTATCCATTATTATCCACTGCACGGAAATGTCCTTCACACCTCTCCAGTCATTGTAAACAGTTTACCATTTATCAGGCTAACCGGCGTACTACAAGATGAGCACATTTAGCAAACGAAAATAAAGAGAGTGATCCGTGTGTTTAGTCCCAATAAAGCAGTCAGTTACTGTATTTTACCACCTTATTTTTAACCATCCTATCTTTAACTACCCTATCTTTAATCACCCTATCTTTAGCCATCCTATCTTTAATCTGACGACGATTTTGATGTTTTTACTTACAAGATATCTTTTCGGAAGAGATATATATATATATAAATGAACAAAACAAGCCCAAACAAAATTGAATTAAAGACGTTGCATAAATTAAAAATATCCCCAGGAAACAGGCTATAATGTGGGTTTTGGAGGTGGAAGTAGGACCCACATTGCGGTGGGGATACACCGTCTATCAGTTGTAACTTCCATTCGCCAGTCTCACATGAAAAAAATTCATAAAGAAATCAAATAAAATCATCAAAAGAAATTAATGTTAGGAGAGCGAGATGTGGGTACTCAAGCCCACAACGTCCCACATCTATATCATCACCCTTCACTGGCTGCAGACAGTTGTGGGAAGGTGACTGCTCTCCAAAGTAAAATAAAATAAAAATAAAAACGAAATAAGATACTACCACTTGGAGGTAAGTAAGATAAACTTACCTCCTGAGGTTGACATTCCAGCCCCCATTATAGTGGTCAAGTACTAATTTAACTTAATTTGTAGTACAGTAGATCAATTATACTAGTATAGAGTTATAAAAGCCCAACCAAGTTATATAAACTGACTAGTATAACTCTCAACCACCAACCACCCTTTTTGTTTGGGATTGTTTTGTTCATTTAAATGTCATTTATCACAGGTTTAGATTTGCTGTTTTTAACGCAATCCTTCCTTTTCATTTTATTTTGCTTTATTGTTTAAGTATTAATTTTCTCTCTATATATATTGACGATATCAGTAACCAGAAGAGATTACATTTATTGATTTGCATTACTGCTGTTTTGGGGTTTTTGATATTATACTACACGAGTCTGCTTTACCTTATTATAAATCTAACCTGTTTACATTACTATTGGTAACTCGTCACATATTTCATTAGATATGTTATTAATAAGTTACTACTTTACTTTGACTTTTTATCATAATTTCATTTTGAAAACTACCCTATTACTTTTCTTTGCTCTAATGCTACTGCTTTTTTTTATCCTTAGGTCATTTTCTTCCTTTGCTGTCCATTGATTTTTTTTTTGTTTTGGTAAACCGAGTCAGAATACTGGATTGAGTCTGGTATGGTCTGATGGTTTGGTTAGGTCACTCAACTTACAATCTGCTCGGTCGCGGGATCGGATCCCGTCACCGAAAATGTTCGCCCTTCAGCCGTGAGGACGTTATAATGTGACGGTCAATCCCACTATTCGTTGATAGAGAGTAGCTCAAGAGTTTACGGCGGGTGGTGTTGACTCCCTATCTTACTTCTAGTCTATCATTTCAGAATTAGAAATGACTAACGCAGACAACCCTTCAACATACAAACAAAATACTGGATTGAATGATTTGTTATGATTTTGAACCTAAGGAAAGCAAAAACCTCTTCAGACGAAAGATTCATACATTATTTTAGATTCCATATTGAAATGAATAAATGAAGTTTTATATGCTTTGTGTGGGTTAAAACGTTCTCATATTACATTTCACCATATTGAAAGGTTCAGAGAACTCAAGTGCTAAGTTATCAAGAAAACTAAACAGTATCAACGTCTATTTTGAAAAGAAAGAGTTTGAAAAGTATGTATAAACATGAAAAGGGTAAACTCAGAGTTTTTAATGATATTATTTTACACTGAAATCATATCTACGAAACAAACTATCACACATTTGAAACAAACATGAGTCACTTCTGGACCGGGCTAATGATCTCAGACTGTGAACCTGAGGGTTTATTTTTCGCGGTTTCATGCCGCAAAAACGTGCTTCGTACTTTAACGCTATAGGTGTACTATAAGAGAACGGTCAAATTCAACTCTTAGACTACTATTCAGCCAGAAAAGAGTGGCCCAAGAGCTGGCGGTGGGTGATGCTGACTAGCTGCCTTCCATATTGTTTGTCACTTCAAAATTATGGACGGCTAGTGCAAATACTCTTTTGTGTAACTTTGCGCGAAAATTCTTAAACAAACAAGCAAAAAATTAGTTCTTGTATTTTCAATGCAGAGCTAAGAGATAAATTGTATTCCATACCCCGTTATTAATTTAATAGTTTCTCTACAGGTACCTTGAAGGAGGAGTTGCCTCAGGTTTCCGACATACGGAAGACAAGGTTGTTAAACGCTTGCTGCAAGTCAAAGGTCGCCATAACGTTCGTGTATTCCAAGTTCCGATGAATGCCAACTCTATGAACAAAGGGGATTGCTTCATCCTGGACTGTGGCTCTGACATTTACGTGTGGGTTGGACAACAGAGTCGCCACATGGAAAGGCTTAAAGCTGTGCAGGCAGCTAATGGCATTCGTGACGACATCCATGGAGGTCGAAGCAATATTCACTTTATTGGTAGGAAAAAAAAATGTTTTAATGTTTTCAATGCAGCGAATTTTATAAGTCATAAGTATTATTTGAAGTAAACACTATAACCTTGCAGTAGTATATAGGTTCTATAAGCATAGTGATTGGTTTGATTTATATTAATGAGATGAAATTATTGTAAATATAAAAAAAAGACTGGATGACTACTACCAAGATTTAAGGCTTCTCAGTGGCAGAGTACTCAGTAGACTTACAACGCTAGAATCCGAGTTTCGAATACCATGGTGGGCAGAACACAGATAGCCCATTGTGTAGCTTTGTGCTTAATTACAAACAAACAAGCAAGCAAGATTTAAAGTCGGTTCTTGGCGCAAGTAAAAAAAGATGTCCCAAAAGTCTGGCTTATTAAGGAAGTGGAAATTAAGAGAAAACACATGTGAAAAGTCTCTATTTTTTTGGGACCAAACTTACAAAAATGTATACAATTACTGGGTTCGTTCAAGAACTCAACTTTTCTTTCACAGTAAATAGAATCATTGTGTTCGACGAATGACTTAATTGTTATCAAAATAAGAAAAAACCATTATGCTCTACCAAAGATTCAGAGGTTTCAAGAAGTAGAATCGCTATATCTGACCAATGATGGATTTGCTGTTATATTAAGTAAAAGTCATTGTATCCGACACAACATTGAATTACTGATATAATAAATGAAATCATTACGTCGGCCAGAAACTGGACTGTTGTTACAATAATTGCAATAATTATTTCTGGCCAAAGCTCAGATTGTTGTTACAATTGAATTGTTATAATAACTTGAATCACTGTGCCCAATCAAAAACATAATAATTTTACACTAAAATCTTCGTGTCTGGATTGTGGTTTGAATAAGTAAAATCATTGTTTCGATCATAGAAAGAAAATCGGTGTCTTTTGTCAATGATATAAAACGATTATTACAACAAGAAAACTAATTGTATGGTAATATAAATTGTTTCAGTCTAGTAAACTAAATTGCCTTCTGTCAAAACAATATATGTGTTTTCACAACGGGAACATTGTTTAGCAACAACTCAAAAGAAACACTAACGACAGGAGTAATAACTGGCTTTTGTCAAGATAGTTCAATTTGGTACTTCATAGAAAATTACTGTCAACTACGAAAGGACAAAAAAAATTAAAATTTCCATCTGTACAGCAGTTCAATGGTTGAGGTTATAAGACTTTAGAAGTAATTTTTTATACTCAATATTTGTGTCATATTAGGTAAAGTAACCACAAAAGATAAATGCTATGTATGAGAATATTAAAAAAATGAAATTGAAGAAACATAAAAAGATTCAGATATTTTTTTATAAACTAAAATTTGTATTCATTTGTCATTTACAAAAATATGTAGATTGATTAATTTTCTTGTGCTGTATGGGCAGGATTAGCTCTCATATAATAATTCCAGCTGTTACATGTTAATAAACACACACGCACACACACACACATATGCACGTGCGTTGTTACACCGACTGAAACGAGCAAACGCATCATATGGGTAACAGATGTGGCTCGAACCGTAGGAGGTAAGGCGTGAAATGGGACATTTGGGACCTTTTGTTTTCTACTTTTAGCTTTTGTTTTTACATGTTGTTGTTGCTCATGAATAATCTAATTCGGCTACTTTTTTAATACCACCAATTTGCTTAATTCTTGCAAATTGTATTAAAACAAATGGGAAAGGATCTTGGCACCTTCCATAAACAAATAGTACTTCCATGGATTTTATTTTAGAAATAACTAAAAAACCTTTAATATTTTATGTATTATGGTAACAGCCTGCTAAGATTACCCCACAGAATGACCAACCTATGTGGTCTATAGAGAGAATGTTGAGATAATTAATAAAATGAGTTCATCTATAGTGAGACTGTTGAGATAATTAATAAAATGAGTTCATCTATAGTGAGACTGTTGAGATAATTAATAAAATGAGTTCATCTATAGTGAGAATGTTGAGATAATTAATAAAATGAGTTCATCTATAGTGAGAATGTTGAGATAATTAATAAAATGAGTTCATCTATAGAGAAAACGTTGAGATAATTAATAAAATGAGTTCATCTATAGTGAGAATGTTGTGATAATTAATAAAATGAGTTAATCTATAGAGAATGTT